CTACACACACAGTTTTCTTTCTTTCTTTCTTTTTTTCCCCTTCTCTTTAACTGTCCTTCCATTTCTGGACCTTCATGATTAAAGCCGTGTTCAATGGGGTTTTAGTAAACTGAAGCAAACATAGCTGATGGGTTTAGAAGTGAAGTAAGCACTGAAAAAGTTGAGCTAACATACTGTAGTCAGCAAACAAGAAACCCAAGAACTAAGTCACATGGTGATTTAAAGGAAAAGACCTTTTGCAAGTAGAAAACGTACCTGAGTTTAGGTAGTGATTCTTGGCCAGTAAAAATTATTACCATGAGACAGTGCACACCTGTAATCCCAGCATTTAGGAAGGCAGAGGCAGGTAGATCTCTGTGAATTTGAGGCCAACCTGGTCCAGGACAGCTAAGGCTACACAGAGAAACCCTGTCTCAAAAAAAAAAAAAAAAAAAAAAAAAAAATTTACTGCCATGCAGTCCTGATGACCAAAGTCCAAGCCCTCGACCTGCATATAAGTCTGAATGCACAGTACACTTCTGTGATCCTAGGGCATCCGTGCAGGATGTGAGGAAGCTCAAATACACAACGCAGCAGCAGAAACAGGAGCCTCAACGCTGCCCTCTAACCACCACACCAACACTGCGCGCGGCACAGCTTCTCCGCTATCGTCTGCGCGCATGCGTGCATTCACATACACAGACGATAAGTTTTAGAGACTAATACAACAAAATCGAAAGAAAATACCAAAACGCCAAACCAGAGTGGGAGGAGAGAACCAAGGTCCTAAAACTAGTCCCCTGACCTTCACCTTCATACTGTAGCTTGCAAGAATCTACACTCATGCACGCACGCGCACACACACACACACACACCCCAAATACCTTTTTTAGAAAGAAAAAGGAAACTTGTATAATTCCATTACTTCTTCACTTTTCTTCCTCAATTATGATACAAGCAAGGCCAGGCTGGGCTACACGAGACCTCGTCTCAGTCCATCAATCAATCAATTTCGAGGCCTGCAGAGATGGCTCCCAGGTTAAGGGTACTTGCTGCTTTTCCAGAGAATCCAAGTTTGGTTCTTAGCACACACTTTTTGTAGCTCACAACCACTCTATCTGCAGCGTGCTTCCTTCCCTCTTCTGACCTCTAACTGAGGTGGCCGAAGCACGGAATTCTACCAGAATTTAAAAAAAAAAAGAGTTAATTCCCACACTGCAAAAGTATTCTGCAAATAGAAACATTGCTGAATTCATTCTACAAGGCTACCCTTTACCCTGATACCCAAATCATAAAGACCCAAAAAAGAGGATTAAAGATGTGCGCTAAACACCAGCCAGTGAGAATTACAGATCAAATTCCCTTATGAACATGATGCAGAAATTCTCAGCAAGTGCTTGCAAACCAAATCCAAGAACAAAGCAAAACGAACATCAACCATGATCAAGTAGACTTCATCTCAGAGCGCAGGGATGGTTCGACATACATAAACTGATACAAATTAAAAGACAAAAATCACATGACCATCTCATTAGATGCAGAAAAAGCCTTTGAAAGAATTCAATACTCCTTCATGATAAAAGTCCTGGAGGAATAAGAAATACAAGGGGAATAGCTCCACATAATAAAGGCAGTTTACAAGTCCATAGTCACCAGGAACCCAGCATTCAGGGAGTTGGAGGCAGGTGAATCTCTGTGAGTTTGAGGCCAGCCTGTTCTACAAAGTGAGTTCAGGACAGCTAAGGCTACACAGGGAAATCCTATCTCGAAAAACAAAACAAACAAAGAACAACAACAAAAAAAAAAACAAGTCTATAGCCAACATCAACTTAAATGAAGAGAAAGTCAAACCAATTCCTCTAAAATCAGGAACAAGACAAGGTTGTCCACTCTTTCCATAGTTATTCAGTATACTCCTTTCCAGAGCAGTAAGACAGAGTTCAAGGGGATACAAGTTGGAAAGAGGAAGACATAGTATCAATATTTGTAGATAATATACATAAGTGATCCAAATATTTTCACCAGGCTACTCTGACAGCAAAGTAGCTGAATGTTGTTATAAAAAAAGAAAATCTTAATCAATCGTTTGATTTTACCAAGAAAGACCCAGGAGCCAGATGCTAGAATGAAAACCTGCTAGCTCAGAGAGGCAGAGAAAGCACTCAGCTGACCCTCCTATTCAGTTGATGTTCCAGCAAGAAAAAAACTTTTCCTACTCAGTTCACATCCCAGAAGGAAAAAAAACAAAACAAAACCTTTCTCCTTCTCCACCCTTTAACTCAATGTCCCATCCTTTCTACTTTCTATGTACCTCTCTATCCATCCTCCAGACATCTTTTCATTCTCTATGTTTTTTTTTCCTGTTCACTTCCTGTCAATCTGGTTGCTTGCTCCACCTCTTGATCTAGAGTTAATTTTACTTTATCCTGTTTACAGAAAGCTCTTAGATTAAAGGTGTGTGCTAGGGCTGAGCCACACCAAAAGTACCTGTCTAGAAAGCTCTAGACTCAAAGACTGAGCCATATCACAATTAGAAACAAGTTTTTACAGTTCATACTCTCAGGGTTCATAATGGGATTAAATATCCTGCAACATCTGGATAGAAAATTAACACAAAAATCAGCAGCTCTCCTGTATACAAATAACAGACAAACTGAGAAAAAAAATCACAGAAACAACACCTATCACAATAGCCTCAACTAATATAAAATATCTTGGGGTAACTCTAACCAAGCAAGTAAAAAACTTTTATGGAAAAAAAAAAAACTTTAAGACACTGAAGAAAGAAATTGAAGAAGATACGAGAAGATGAAAGATCTTCCATGTTCATGGATCAGTAGGAGTAACATAGTAAAAATTGTCATCCTACCAAAAGCAATTTATAGATTAAATGCAATCCCCATAAAAATTCCAACACAATTCTTCAGAGATCTTGAAAAGACAATTTCTAGCTTTATATGGAAACATATAGAAGAGGATAGCTTTAAAAAATTCTGAATAAAAGGACTTCTGGAAGTATTACCACCCTCATTTCAAGTTATACAACAGAGCTATAGTAATAAAAACAACATGGTATTGGCACAAAAACAGACAGGTTGATCAATGGAACCAAACTGAAGACTTAGACTTACATCGACACACCTATGAATGCCTGACTTTTTATAAAGAAGCCAGAAATGCTCAGTGGATAAAAGATAGCATTTTAAACAATTTGTAGCTAATTTATAGGTATAACAATTTATACCTAATTTTAAAAATGAGGTATAAGCTTGATGGTAGTGGCACATGCCTTTAATCCCAGCACTTGGGAGGCAGAGGCAAGGCCACCCTTGAGTTCAAGGCCAGCCTAGTCTACAGAGAGAGAGTTCTAGGATGGCTAGGGCTATATAACCCTGTCTCAAAAAACAAAAACAAACCCCAAAACAGAGGCACAGATCTAAACAAACAATTCTCAGAAAAGGGATCTCAAATGGCTGAAAAGCACTTAAAGAAATGTTCAACATCCTTAGCCACCAGGGAGATGCAAGTCAAAACCACTTTGAGATCTCGTTTTACACCCATCAGAATAAAAAAAGTGATAGCTCGTGCTGGCGAGGAGGTGGCGTGTTGCGCTCCCCACTCACATCCATTGCTGTTGGGAGTGGAAATCAGTGTGGCGGTTCCTCAGGAAAGCGATCTACTCAAGATCCAGCTATACCACTCTTATTCTACCACGGAGACACTTGCTTAACCATGTTCATGCTGTTCTATACATAATAGCCAGAAACTGGAAACAACCTAGATGTCCCTCAACAGAAGGATGGATACAGAAAATGTGGTGTATTTACACAGTGGAGTATCAGCCATTAAAAAATGAAATTCGCAGGTAAATGAATAGAACTAGAAACAAAAATAATCCCGAGTGAGGAAATCCAGACCCAGAAAGGCAAATGCAGTATTTATTCACTTTTATAGAAATATTAGATGTTTCAACCAAGTTACAAGGCATGGAACCCCAGAGTAAGGGGCTGGGGCGTCTGTGGTAGGGGTAGCTAGATCTCCCTTGGAAAGGGAAACAGAACAGATAGTTATAGACTGATGTGGGGGAGCTGGACTGGAAGCAAATCAGGAGGGGGAGGGGAGAGAGTGACAAGGGACGCAATGTGGGAAAAGACAGCTAAATTAGGGCTGCTTGAGGGAAACCTGATATAGCAGAAGCTTCCTAAAATACAGACATTTGTGAAGGTGATCTAAATGAAATTTTAAAATAACGGGGGAGATAGCGCCCCAGCTGGATGTCTCTCGTCACCATGTCCAGTGTGGAGAATGGGTTCCATCCAATTGAGTTGTTTGGCCAAAGGGGTCCCATGGGAACCCTCAGACAACCCAGGCTGTTGCTAGGACTATAGGCTGCTCTCCACAAATGGTAGCAAGGCCTCACAGAACGGGAAAAGTTGGGCTGCTACCTACGTAGGGCCTTTCCCCTACATGCTAGCTTCTTTGGTACAGAAAGGTTCTCTGCATGCTACCAAAGGAGAATCATAAAAACCAAGCTAGCTACGAACCCTTTGATCTGCAGTGGTGTCCTGCCTGCCAGATATGCTAACACAAAACTTGTGGAAGCAACTGACCAATATGTGATTTGCCTGAAGACCTTTTCCTTGAGATGGAACTCATACTTGACACAGCTTAGGTGAACAAGAACCTGAAAGTATGTAGCCTAGGGAACTAGGGGAATGCCAAGTACTACTGTTCTGCAAAAAGAACAGCAATAAATTGACTCCTAATGACATGCTACCATATTCAGACAGATCAATGCCTTGCTCACCTGCCATCAGAGAAGCTTCCTCCTGCAGTAGATGGGAACAAATACAGAGACACACAGCCAGACACTACGCAGCAAGTGAGAAATCTTGAACACTCAGCCCTAAACTGATGTCTCTACCAAATCCCTCACCTCGGGGCTCAGGGAACACTGCAGAGGGAGTATAAAAGCCAGAGCTGATGGAGGAGACCAAGAAAACCAGACTCTCTAAACCAACCTGATCGTGCAGTTGATGATCCTGTGTTCACGCACACGTAAACTCTCGGAGACTGAGGCCGCTGCATGCCCAGGGCCTGCACCGGACCGCACCGGCCTGCACCGGTCTGCACCAGATGGAGTCCTGTAGCTGAAAGGAGGAGACACACGCCCCTGTCCCCAACTGAGAAACATCTCCACTTGATAACCACCAGCAAATGAAATGTTAGCGTTCTCCAAGGGAGTCTCACTGGAAAGACTACGCCTTAAACTAGTCTTAAAAGGAAGCTTCACGCCCAGCGGCCGAGTGGCTGAAGGCATCTTTGGAGGTTCTTTCTCAGGACTTTTCTTTTTCTTTTTTTCTTTTTAACTATTGTTTATATTTGTTTTTTATTTTATTTATGGCTTCCAGATTAGTGTTTATGGGATTCACGAGTGGGGGAACAGGCAAGCCTCTCGTTTCTTGTTCATTCTCTTGTGCTTATTTCCTCTGGTTGTGTGTTTCGCTTGACTCTTACGTGTTAGGCTTTTTAAAATCGTATTACATCATATTATATTCTCCCTTAGAAGCCTGATTGTTTTCTAATGAGAGACAGAAAGGGGTTGGATCTAGATGCTAGAGGAGGTGGAGAGAAATTGGGAGGAGTCGAGGGAGTGGAAACTGATCTATTTATCTTATGTGTATATGTGTTTTGTCTCCATGTACGCATGTACACACCAGAGGAGAGCACTGCGTCCCACAAGACTACAGTTATAGATGGTTGTGAGCTGCCATGTGGATGCTAGGAATCAAACTCAGGACCTCTGGAAGAGCAGCAGGTGCTCTTAACCGCTGAGCCGTCTCTCCAGCCCCCCAGTAATCAGGACATACTATGTCGGGAAAAAAAAAATCTATTTCAGTAAAAGGAAAAATAAATAAATAATCCTTTCTTTCGTAAGTTGCCTTGGTCATGATGTTTCATGGCAGCAATTAAATAGTCACTAATGCGGAAGTCTTAATGGATTTTGTGGTTTTGAAAGTGATTTGAAAAGGGGATTTGTCTGCTGAGATGACTCAGTCATCCTTGCGAGTTTTCCTTGTGCTGTGGGGGTGTTTTCCCTCAGCTTAAGCCAAAAAAAAAAGTCTTCAAAACACAGGCAACTTACAGAGGAGTTTATTTCTTTATTTACCTTTTATTCATTTGTTTTGTAGCCTGGGCTAGACTCATACTTGATACGTAGACAAGACTAGCCTTGAGCCGTTGATCTTTCTGCCACCTTCAAGTGCTGGGGTTACTGACATGTCCACTGTACTCAGATTCTTTCCTCCCCTCCCCCCCAACCCCTGGCCTCCTCTTTCTGCTTTTTTCTTTCTACCGTACTTCTAGTAGTATTCTGACTTTATCTTAGTTCTGGTAACCCTCATATTTTCAGTTGGTTTGCTTTATTTGTTTTATTTTCTTAAGCCTAGACTAGCCTTAAGCTCCTGAGTCTCCTGCCCCCGCCTCCCGGGTGCTGGGATTACAAGCAGGCACCATCACACTCAGTTTTGTGCAGTAAGGGAGGACTTTTTGGAAAGAAGGGGCTGAGTGAGGGCCTAGAAAGAATAGAGGGAGAAATATGACCAAAGGGCATTGTGTGTGTGTGTGTGTGTGTGTGTGTGTGTGTGTGTGTAAAATCGTGAAAGAACGGATAATTTTAATTGCGTTTACACTGGCCACGGTGATGCAAGCCTTTAATTTCTGCACTCAGAAGGTAGGGGACAGAAGGAGGCCAGGCTTCTCCAGCACTCATCTGGAGCGGCTCACTTAAACTTGGCACAGACACCGAGTGCACCCAAGGGCAAATAGGAACCTGAAATGAGGTTTGAAGCGGCAGGAAAGCTTCGTGCACTGCTGGTAGGAATGTAATTAGTCCAGCCACTCTAGAAATCAACATGGCCGTTTCCAAAATTAAAAAAAAAAAAGCTTATATAAGAGATCTGTGCCATACGAGCCAGCTACACCACTTACGTGTGTCTGCCTGACAGACTCCAAGCCAACACATTACAGAGACACTTTCACGTCATTATGTATTGCAGCGTTATTCAGGACAGCTGAGTTATGGATCCAATATAACCATCCAGCAACTGAGAAACGGCTGTGGACACAACGGTCTACAGACACAATTCGGAGCCTTCTTGAGGACCTTTCATCATTCGTATGGGAACAGATGCAACTGGAGACAATTGTATTAAGTGAATTAAACTAGTCTAAAAAGACAAATGTGTTTTATTTTAAATTTTATTTTTCTTTACAGAAAGAGAGGGGTGTGTGTGTGTGTGTGTGTGTGTGTGTGTGTGTTTGGATGTGCCTACTGTGCTTCAGGTACCACAGGGAGCATGTGAAGGTCAGAGGACAGCTAGCAAGAGTCAGTTCTTTCTACCATGTGGTCCTGATAACTAGACTCAGGTCACCAGGCTTGGAGCAAGTACCTTTACCACAAAACCATTTCGATTTTCTCGTTTCTAGATTTTATGTGAAGATCTAAAATAGTGCATGCATATATGACGTTAAAGAGAAGTAAAACTGTTTCAGGTAACAAAGGGGAGGATGGAGGAGATGCAGGGGGGAAATGGGAAATAGGCTTCCGGTATATGTGTACAATATGTATGTGTATATATTGTATACGCGCACAACATATACTTACTGTGTCTGTAACATTGTTTCCAGAGTCATTTAACTGAGGGCAGAAGAAACGTGCTGAATGTGGCCAGCGCCATCAATAGGCTGGGGTCTCCGGCTGAACAAATAGGGGAGAAAGACCGGCATCCATCTCATCTGCAGACCAGTTGCAGCAGGCCCCTGCTGCCACGACTTCTGAGGTGATGAACTCTCCCCTGAGAGTAAGAGTAAGAACCTGTTGCTCTTAGAGGTCCCAAAAGGTGTTGCCTGATTGTCAATCACATAAGACCTTTTTCTTCTCTGTTTTTTTCCAAGGAGCCTGAGTTACTTAGGTATCAGGTGGTAGGCAGCATAAGAGAAAGGCCTGACCTTTGGTCATGGTTAAGGCAGAGCTAAGTGCTCATTCGTGTGGGTTTGGGACTTCAGTTATTCACTGGACTGGACAATGTAACTACAGAAATAAAACTATTATTGAAAACATGTGTTCTGGGGACTTTTGGCTACCCAAATGATGGCCAAAAAAGTTAAGAGGCACCTACAGAAATTTCCTCTGGGGCTTAAATGAGTCACTGAGAGGAAAGGAAAGCTGATTATACTGTATTTCTTCTTCTTCTTCTTCTTCTTCTTCTTCTTCTTCTTCTTCTTCTT